CCGACCGGGACCGCGCACCTGCCCAGCGCCGGGCGCGGCTCCTCCAGCGCTCCCGTTCCATTGGCCCAGCCCGGGATGGGAGAAACCCTCGCTCCCCTTCCTCCTGTTCCCTCCCGTCCCGTTCCGCCCCCTGCGCGATGCTCTGGGCGCCCGCCGAGTCTCAGCCGCTGCGACAAGGGCTCCCCTTCCCGCAGTCCCGAGAGGAAGAGACACGGGCTGGGGCTCCGCAGCGCCCAGAGGAAAACACCGACCTCTGAGATGGTGAAGGAGGCAGAGCGTGGAAAAAGGAGCCTGAATAGGGTGATTCCAGCGTGGTATGTGGTCACCCAGGTACACGGGGGGCACCGTGAATGGAGGGAGTCTACCCCAAACTCCCTGGGGCCTTCGTAACCTCTACGGATACACACGGTCTGATAACTTGTCACCCAGATAAGCAAGTAGATGTTTTCAGTGTCAGGAAACCTGTGCTATTCAGAAGGCTGTAAATATTTCCACAAGTGCATAAATAAATGCACACTTGCTTGCACAGCATGTTTTTGCCTCTAGCTTAGAAGTCATATAATTGTGACGTAATTCAGCCATGCAGTGTCTCTGCAAGGTAATTTTAGGCCAATGTGGTTCATTTTTGTGTCAAAATGTGCTGTGAACATCAGTGTCTATGTAGCAGAGGTCAACTTTCAGGTAGTGTGCTTATGAAAAAAAAAAAATGCCCAGTGGTAACACTCAACTATTTAAAACTTTATTTCCAAGAATTTGCAAGAGATCTCTGTTGCCATTCCAAGCTGAGGCTTTTGTTCTCTCACACCCTGGGAGAATCCTAAAGGTCCACTGGAGAAGAGGGTGTCATTACTCTGTAGTCACGGTGAGGTGTTTAAAGGAAGGAAGGATGGGCATAAACACATAGGAAATGAAGATTTATTTATCCCACAGAAACAAGATTCTTGGGGATCTGTGTTCACTGTTGGCTTATGTAGACAAGTCAATGAGACAACATGCTTATCACTACCATGATTACTGTTGTAGATAATTTTACTGGCAAATCTATTTCAGTTGGGGGAACTTTGTGACTAAAAAAAAGCTCTTTCTTAGTAATAAAAGTGATGTCTACATTTAGATGATAATCTGTTTTACTTGTGTGCCACCAACTTTTTTTTTTACAGTATAGAGTAGATTATAAGTATCAGAGCCATAACACAAGCTAGAGTTCTGATGTTCTAACAGCCAGTTAATATTCCTTCCTACCTTCCCATTCAAATTTAAATACACTAGAGCTCCCTTACATAACCCCTCAATTACCTGAAATAATAACAATAGGGATAGTTACTACAATAATTATAAATTTGTTTTTATCATCATCATCATTCTAGTTAAAAGGGATATTAACATCTAAAAGTCTACCTTGCACACTGGTATATTGATATATTGGATATATGTTGACAAATTAGACCAAAGAGCTTCAGGGGGTTAAACACTTGGGTAGTCAGGGTTTATCCATTCTGATGCATGAGTTCTGCTCAAATTCTCCATAATAAATCTGGGTTTTGGCTATTAATATCAACAAATAATAAATTATTTTGAAAATATTATGAAAAATGTTAAATAAATTGTCATAGTATAGGAAAACCAAAAATGTTGCACATAGATCCTTCTCTAGACACTTAAAAAAAAATAGAGAAAAAAAAGAATAGATAGTTAAGCTGTTTTGATTATACTGGGTTTTTTTCTCCTTTAATTTTTCTTTTGTTTGAAGCATTTCCTTCTTTTCCCTAATGGGACACAGTTGAACTTGTATATAGAAGGTACCAATCCTCATATGTCACAGAAGGTAGCAAACAAAACAAACAAAACTTGGGTCATCTTAGATAAAACACTGTAGGTGTTTATTGAAAATATTGAAGAGAAAGAAGCAAAATATATATTTTTATGGTTGAACAAGCAACTGAAGTTGTAACAGCAAAACACTTGCTGTTTGATTTCATTAATCAAATCTTCATGTCTATCTGAATAAATATATGTCAATTTGGATTAACTATTAACATGGAAAATTAATATTTTAAAAGAAATATTAAATGTCCTTGAAAACCATATAAAAAATATTTTTTTCATTCATAAGTTGAAAGTGATAGCCACAAAGGTGTCCATTTGTTTGTATGTTGTCAAGATGTTTCTATGTTTAAACTGATGTACGTTATCATTTCTTCCAGGATCAGAAGAAAAAAAAAAAAAGTGACATCTAAGCAAGCAACTGATATATATCCATTTAAAATACAATTTAGATAAATAGTATTTTATTTCATGAAAAAGTATTTTTTAGTATATGTCTTCCTCTCAATGATGTAATAAACACAAAATCATATTCATCTCCATTTAAATGGAATTGTGCTAACAAAAACCATGCTTTGCTATAAAATGAAGATAAAACCACACCAATTTCCTTATGCTTTAAAAAGTTAGCAAGTGAATTAAATACAGATGAAAGCTGGCAAAACTAGCAGTTTACTGACATAATTCTTCAATAAAACCATTTTAGCTGTTTTTTTGATCCAGTTAGCTAAATGAAGACAGAGAGACAGGAAAAGTGTCAGTTTTTGTGATAGGTTTGTCTACATTGTTAGCATAGCAAGGTCAGTCAGGAATGAGGGAAAGACATGAAACAGTCTAGCTAGAAAAACTATGTCAACCACATCTCCACATAGTATGAAGTTTAAAAGTCATTGTGACTTAGATTTTAGAGGCTGAAGCATCACACACTCAATCTAAATGAATCAGAAAAAGCTTTGTACCAATCTTCCCTCTTCAGAAGTTACGAATAATATGTTTTTTTTAAAAAAACCCATCTTGCTAAATTAATGCATTCAAAGGTTCTAGAGTCAGGCCTAAGTTTTCAAGAAGAGAAATTAAGTGAAATTCTAGTTCCTGAGAAGAGCTAACTACCATTTCAGTAATTATCAAATAAATAAATAAATAAAATTAGCATGTCTTTCTATTGTATTTCAAACAGTGGTTTGTCAATATACATAATCTTTTTTATTATTCATTATTAAGTTAAGAAGGAATTTTCTAGCTACAATTCCTTTCACTTTGACAGTGTTTAGGCATAAATACAAAGTAAATGCATTCAAATTTTTAATCCTTTTGACAACTACAGTTTTTCTTAAAACATAGTAAACATTACAGAAATATACTGGAGAAACCCAACAAGTGTGAAAGGAAATAGCAAAGTCCTTATCCTAATTCCATCAGAAGAATTAAGTTTTTTGGCTAATTTTGAAAACAGAAAAAAAAATTATTTGGTGACTCAAATCCTCACAAACCCAAATCTTTCAATTTTTATCTTATATCAAACTTGATTTCTTTGTACTTAAGATAACTTCTGAGTCAAAATCTGTATCCAGCCCTTATGAATGCAGGTCAGAAAGTTAAGTACAATCCCTGGATGTTTAAAGCATATCTTTGATGACATAAAACTCAAGGTGCAAAAGTGACATCAGGTTAGAGAGAGCAGGATTGCAATGTCTCCAGAAAACAGTCATTAGAGGAAGATTTTCTTCTGTCGGAATGGCAATGTAGAATGTCACCAACCAAAGGAGCCTGTGATCAGACAGCAACTCTTCTTGCAGTGGTTTACACTGTAGCCCCACCTGAAAAATGAAAATTGAACATTCAGTATTTCCACTGTGGGTGTTCTTTGCCAGCTTTTCTGAGGCTGATCTGGGCTACCCAGGCTGGTTTCTACACACAGAGCCACAGCTGTCAGGCACCTCTGTGGTGGCAGAGACAAGTGTTTGTCAAATTCCCATCTACTTCAGCACTTTAGCAGTGGAAAACTCTTTGGGTCTTACCACGTGGTTTGAAACAAAGTTTCTTATTCTTGTAGGCGCTGTAGGCTGCTATTGATCCAACAACCAGTATTACAAAAGCAGAAATTACAGGAGATGTAACTCCAGCTATTAAACCCGAATCTGTGGAAAAAGAAAGAGAAGGGGTTTTTTCAGAGGCACTTAAATGGTTTGTCTCAAGTATACTCTCTACTAAAGTGTGCCTTTACCATATTATGAAAATAGTTTGGTGAAACTATAGAATTAAGGACATGAATAGAAATTGTGTTTTATTACAGCTGATGTGAAAATTATGTCTTAAACCCAAAATTATTATATATTCTACTCTTCTAAAGCTATCATTGTTTGAATATTTCATAAAGATCAGAAATCAATTGTAGAATAATGTAAATTATTTACCATACCTGTGTTCCCTCCATGATTGAAATGATGCTCTTCTTCTCCTGGAATAGAGGGTGAAGTTTAATCAAAGAAACATTTGTCATCCCGTTTTGAGAACTAGGTATTTACTCAGCAAAGTGTGACATACAAAGGGCAAAAAGGGTGGCCCAACAAGTCTACAAGAGAGGAGTTCCCCTTCCACTTCCCACTGATGGCTGGCAGAGGAATAATTGTTCATCCTCTTGATGCTTCCTTTTTGGGAAGAATGTTATCATCTAATAGAAGGACCATGTATAACAGGCTACATCAAGCTGATTTCACAGGGAGGGCAGTGCAGTCTATCTCTTCTCTACTATCAGACAATCAGATCATTTATCAGTAGTTTACATCAAGATTGTAGTCTTAGTCCATCTACTTCAGCGTGCCCCTTGCTTTTGGACTTTACTTGCTGAATTCAAAGAGATAAAAACCCACAGGCTTCTGGCATATGCTAGAATGCTAAAAAATGTATTGGAGTACATTTCAAGTTCTAACCTCAGGCTCAAAACCATGTTTTTTCATGGAGGATAGCTAACCTAAATAAAAATAGCAGAAATGGCAAAAATGGTCCTATACCTTCAAAGACAAAAAGATTATCACTAAAACAAAATCAACCAGCTCCAGTTTACAGGTACTAGGAACACGTTGCAAGGGAAGTAGGCAAATGTTACCTGGTGGTAAAGGCTTTCCATCAAGGAGATCTGAGTCATCAAAACCTCCTGCAAGATAAAGATTTCAGTTGAAAAATTATCTACAATGGTAGCCCCTTCAGCTCCCTTGTCCACTCCTTTTGTAGTGCTCTAGGGAGAGGTGAGGGACCTTTGAAATCCCAGGACCAACATGAGGGATGGATCACGTCTTACACTGAACAGTCATCTACCAAAATTTACCTGAAAGCTGAAGTACTGACATTATTGGTGTCTATATATTCTGTGTCTGTTTTGGGCACTTGTGGGATATGTGAGCTTGGGCTCTCTGTAACACAAATCCTTATGTAATATGGAGATCTGGAGTCCCAGTGATCCACGAAGCAGAGTTGGTGGGTCCTTTCCAGGAAAGACTCCTAAAGGACCTGTCCACAGCTTACCACTACAGCCATACCCAAAGTATAGGTACAGGGTGAGAGAGAGAATAGATATGCCACATTTTCTTCATTTAAGCAAGTGTCTGGAACCAAACCCAAATGCAGTACAGGCTGCCCAGCCCAATCTGTTGTATGCCCCAGGGCCACCTCAGATGCACATCTCAAACCGATTTGAACACAGGTTTATCCCTGCCCTGTGGCTAGATGTCAAATTTGAACCTTTGCATAGTTCAGTGTATACATGCTCAAAATGAAAATGCAAACAAGATTAAATGTTAGTCTCATGCCACTTAAGATGCAGTGTCTCACATTTTGAACAGACAGAAAAACTCTGTGGTATCGACACTAACATTTAGAAAAAAGCTTTCTCAACTCCGGGTCAGAAACAGTGACTACAAAAGGAATATGTAGGGAAAGGATGATGAAACCTATTACTAGAGAAATAAGAGATTAAAGTATTTAAAATGTCTGCTCTGAATAGCTCATAGCACTACATTTTCTTAAGAGGAAGTAGTCTTACCAGAATTACCGTAAGTTCCTGGGCGTGGTGGAAGAGGTGGGTATAAAGGTTTTCTTGAGATGTCACCTATTAATAATTAATATTGTTAGATGATTAACAGGCAAAACTGGTAACAGTAAATAAAAACATTTATACCAATTTATAATTTTTCCTGCCATGAATTAAGAAAAGCACCTGGTCAGTAATTAAGAAGATTTAAGCGCTATATCAACAAATAGCTAGCTACAAAAACTGACTTGGAAGTGAACAGGGAATAGTTTCAAAAGAAGAGAACGATTCACAAAGAAAACATTGAGGGAAAATATTTCATGTGGATCTGGCAAGTGCTAACATTGTTTAAAGGTGACAGCTGGGAGGCGCAATGTGTCACTGTGGGTGTCAGTGGTGCAGTTATTAAAAGCCAACAGAAAGCTGATGTTCTAGTTTGAACTGGAGGGAAGAGGCTATCTCATTGCCATCAGCAGGTATTTATGAGGCCTGCAGATTAGTTTCATCTAACAGATGTTGAATTTATCTAATGCATAATGAATTTTCTGCTCTTAAACTGTGCAAAATGAAATCAGACTTCAGCTTTGCTGTTGTTTAGGATTTTGTGCTAGCATTTAGCCTTAATTTCTTGCCAAAGGATTAGCAAGAGATGCACTGGATAGAGCAGGAGGTCTGATGACTGAAAACAGTTTCCAAACTGCATATATAATGCTGAAGAGCTGACTCAGGTCAAAGCTTGACAAATTTAATATCTAGGGTTGCTGCTCTGCATGTATAGAGTCAGTCTTCTCTTGCCATCCGTTTCTCAACAAATTCAACCACATATTTCACTGTTCTCATAGCCAGACAGTGAATCTAACTCTGCACAGATCAAAATTAGGTCACAGAAATAAATAGCGATTTCCCTCTCCCTCCTTTCACCTTTCAAACATGCCAGTTGCCCTATGACTATGTTTTCTTCTTGCCTAGCTGCTAAATACAGTGTTTCTGTTTCTGAGCATCATTTAGGTTCTGATCCAGAAAATTATTTTGGTGTATGCTTAATTTCAAGTGAGTTTAGCCTACAGCCAATGGGTTATAGGGTAGAGTCATAAAGCTTTGTTGAATCACTTTGCCCAATTAATTGTATTCAGTAGAGGAAGGACTTGTTCTGTTCCAGCTCTCCATGTAATGAACTAAGACTCACTGTGGCACACAAGCAGAAAACCACCAATCCCACATTTAATTTCTATCATGATGCTGCACTTAGTCTTCTCTAAGCATAAGAAGACACATTGTGTGGCACAGCTGGTGAAAAAGTGTCTTCAGAAGTACTGATAACAAGATACATAACTTTAACCTGATTATACCATGTATGGAGGTCAGTTAAGAAACTGAACTGAAAATGGAACAAAGAAATAAAAAACAAAGGAAATACAGCTCTCCCCTTGGAATGAAAATATTTGGTTTAGTTAAGATACTTAAGCTATTAATTAATATTTTAGTCAATATATTTAATCTCATTAGAGTACTCAATAAAAGCTTGCAGAAATGGAAGAATTATTACAGGGAGGAGTACATGAAAATATAAACATGGCAATTATTAACAAAATTAGATTCAGCTTGGTAAAATGTGGACTACTATGTCATTCAAACAAAGGCATGAAGTGCTACAGGGGAACTTGGAAATGGGAAAAAATCCTCCCAATATTAAAGTGTTCACCCATTCTCTGAGACTGAAACACGAGTAAATCAGATCACTGCAGCTAGTTCAGAGGGTCTGTGCAACTGGCTGAGAAGCAATTTTTCTTTTGTGTCTGTGATTAAAGTGGAATTTTAGGCTTTGATTCAATACTAATTGCACTTTGGGTAACTGCAGTATTCAAGAACCTTTCTAGAGTAGTTCACATCCTTGGTATATCTCTAAATACCCTAAGTAAAATTTGGTGTACAAATTCCCAGCGTCAAGGATTTCATGTCTGCACAGCTCAATAGAGTAGTGTGAATACTGCTGAGGTCAGGTCTGGGTGTTATGGGAATATCTGGAAATTAACAGCATGTTACAACAGCTTGACTGCTTCAAGCTAAAGCTGTATTTACCAGTGCTCATCTCTGAAACATTCCTTCCTGAATTTCTCATTTGCCATCAGCAGAGCTACAACTGGGCCACGTTTGCTCTCCCCAGCCATGCCTGGGGTGCTCTGCCATGGTAGATCAAGCCCCAGCTAACTTGAGTTCATGCAAGGTAGGGCAGCTGGAAGCTCTCAAAGGTAGCTGGGACCAGGTGCTGTCCCCACTCTGCATGACAGCCTCAGGCAGAAGGGCTGCATCTATATAAGCTGTAATAATGCTCATGACCATAGCACCTCCTGCAGTATTGAAATCACTTTTTAAAGATTAGGAAGAGGTCAGAAAATTACTATGAAAGTAAAAAATCCCCTTGTATTCAAGAAAACAAGGGAGTACTCACCACCACCAAGAGCATCTCCCAAATTCAGATCATTGTCTAAAAATGAATAGGAGGAAGATGTAGAAAAGTGAGTTACAAACAATTATTGAAGGAAATAAAATGTTATTTTCATTAGAATGTGTACAACTGCACGTTTGACAAGCACCTTTTTCAAGTCAGTGCCACAAATTCAAATAACTCATCACACTTTTCTTGAAAACTCTAATAGACTCTAACATCTACCCACACACTGACAAATACCACAGTATTTTCTACTCAAAATACCAAAAAGTTTTTTTTCTGTTTTAAATGATATCAAAATATATCTTACTGTTGAATCAAGATCAATACCTCTTTAATATATTTGTAAGTAAAAAAAATAAAATTAGATATGTTAAAATGTAACTGTACCCATTCTTAAAATATACTTAATTATTAACATTTATATCTGTGGTTAAAATTGGTATATGTGTGCTTGGCTTAGGTTTACTTTATTGAACTGCAAAAACTGAATTCTCATTTCAAAAACAAATATTAGGGAGCAATAAACCTACCTGGGGAGAAATTGAATCAACTAATTTATGTAACACTGAATACCTATTTCAAAAACAAATACTAGGGAGCAATAAACCTACTCAGGGAGAGATTGAATCAACTAATTTATGTAAGGGTCATGGTGACCCCTTGCTTCAGGCAATCATATACTCCTGTCTGAGGTTGGGAGACACTCTGATTTTATTTGCCTGAGCTGTAAAGGTTTTTAAATAGAATTAAATGTCTGTATGTGAAAGTTACCCAGTAAACCAACAGGCTGTGACCATTGCCCAACACCATACACGTGTCTCGCTTTACCTGGGATGGAATCATTCCATGCAATAAACAATTTGTCCATGAGCTGCAGATGTGTAAACAGGGACTCTGTTTCTGACACACAGGTGTGGAGATGAGTATGTGGGTGGTATTTTAAGGTGTGTATGGAATGATGATGTGTTCTGAAAGAAATACTTTAGATGAATGCTGTAACTCCAAAAATCTCTTTCTTGGTGGTTATATGTGTGGAGTGATACAGTGAATCCAAAGAAAATGGATAGCAAAACCTATGTAAATTTTGGTAACAGTGCTTGTTGTCACAGGATATTAGACAGACTCTCAATGAAACAATTTTTTTTTTCATTATATATGCGTCAGAATTCCTGAAACACAGGAATGTCACTATGCAGAAATCTGCTTTCTTCTGTTCTTCATACCTAGGAGGAGTGGGAAGCTGCTTTTGCTTAGTATCTAGTCTCATTTGGGTAACAACTCAGAAATGCTTTGATGTCACCAGGAAATCTGGCAGGAAAATAAATTCATAATACATTACTTGGTTTGTTCTTGTCAGGTGTAGATCCTCCCTGTGTCTGCCCAGCAAAGAGTTTCATTTCAAAAATACCTTTATCTGTCAAATGTTAACACTGTAAGAAGCAATAAATTGAAAACTGGACTCAATTTATTATTGAGATGAAGAAGTCAGGTAAAATGCAAGTTCTGCTCTAGAGGGTTCATGTTGCAGAAATGCTAAGGTTGATATGAATGACATAAAAATGGAAATGCATGTGTGTATTGGGACCAGAAAAAACAGCAAAGTGTTAAAAGAATAAACAATAAAGGTCACTGTCCCCAGCAGTAAAACTGAGGAATGTGTTGTTTCTGTCAAAACCAGCAGGCCTGTGCTCTGATGACAGCACAGATGACTTATCAGCAGAGGAAAAGCAGAAAGGCATTCTAACTCCAAAGGTTGCAGCATATCACTGCTTTTCTGATCGTCCACACAGCAAATAAGTCTGTGCACGTAGCCTGTGTACTCCAAACAAGTGAAAAAAAAAGACAGTGGGAAGCAACCTGACCAAAGGTCCAGAGACACTGGAGTGAGAAATATTATGAGACAAAGGACATCTCTATAATACCTGATTACTACTAAAGGATATAAAGGGTCTGTGGATTCTACTTGTCATTTCTGATCAAGAAGAAGAACAGAGAAAGGATAAGAGCTCAGTAGGTGGCAAGCTTTGTCTCATGTTGCACCAATGCTCACCAGACCACCTAAGCACACACATCTTGGTGCTCATGAGCATGTAGGTGTGAGGATATGGCTGAATTAAACACAATGCAGGAACAATTTGAGAATTTGTAAATAAACATTACCTTCCATTAAATTTTGTGATGAATTTTGCTACACTAGGGAGGTGCCTACTGGAGAGCTTCAACTCAGGCAGAGGTGCATGGGATGCCCAGTGGACATTGTCTGTAACTGGCCTCAGCTGAACAAAAATCTCAGTGAGCCTCACTTCTGAATGAGACATAGCAGAAGTTAAGATGAAACATTAAACAGATCCTAAAACATACTTTTGTACCATCTTCCTGCACTTTCCAAATCCAATAATTGATTTGTAACACTGTGGGCTTGGGTTTTTAATAAGTCTTAGTTGCTTTTTTAAACTCTCTGCAGTCCTCTGTAGAACTGAAGGAAACTCTGAAATAGTCTGAAAAACATGGAGTTCTTCCTGCCCAAAAATTAGTGGATTTGGTTAGGGCAGATATTCATCTGATCACATCTATAACGTATTTAGGAGTCTCTAATAATAAAAATTACTTTCATCTGACTGAGGCAGCTTCAGTGCAGATACTGACACCCTAAGATACCTTTAAACATGACCAAGGATAAAGTATTTTAGGGCACAGTTCAAATAACTTGAAAAGTTTACATTAGGATGGAAACAAATCCACATTTGGTGCAATATTTTTAAAAAGACAGATATTTCTAATCTAGGCCAGACACAAATTTTGTTTTCCAAATGAAGTGGGAAGGAAGAAAGCAGCCATTAAAATATATAATGGCTACCACTTTCACAAAATACTGCCCTGTTTGTTCAAAGAGGGCACCAAAGAATTGTGTGGGAAGTGTCACTACTTTCATGCACCTAAAATCTTATAGCAAAGTTTGTCCAGAAAAAGACCTAAAGTTATTGTTTGGGGTTTTTTTTGTTCGTTTGTTTGTTTTTTGGTGTTTTTTTTTTTTTTTAAATCCAGCATTCGCCAAGCATTTTGTTTGATAGACAGAAACTTATCCACTGTAGTTTAGTTGAAAAAAAATAAAAATCTGTGTTGTCCTAAATTGTTCCATCACAAATGAAATTTTTCTCTTGTTTGGAATTTGGATTTTTTCAAAATTAACAAGTGTTCATTAGAATTTGTTGTTTGGCATTCTCAGGACTACAGCTTTCCACTGTTCAAAGCCTTTTTTCCTTTCTGACAGAGGTGGTTGTAGCAATCAATACTAGATAATATGGATCAAATACACAGTAAGAAGAAAGAATAGAGATTTGTTTGGATTCTTTTCCAACTCTGTTATCAAGTGTCATGAATAAATACACAAAAAGTAAAGATAATAAGGAAAAATAAGTAGAGGAACTGTTAGCCATTTTTAGCAACAGCTACCCGCTGTAATACTGTCATGGAGTTCAGAACAATCTAGAAAAGTGTGAAGAAGGTCTTCAGGAAATAAAACACTATCACTTGCCACCCATGCTTGAGTGCCTTACTGGAAGCAGTAAAGACATGTAATTGGTAATTGTCAAAAGAGCACTTATTTTACTTTAAGAAGACAGCTGTTATTCACACATTATCTCAGGTAATGCATAGCAGAAAATATGATAAAGAATCTCATGTGAAAGTTTCTTACATATACAGAATCGGTTTTATGCCCCAATATTTATTACTCACTGAACACAGGTCTTGTCGGTCTTCTGATCACTGTAGGCTTTCTGGTAATTATGTCATCTGTTGGACACAATGACACGCCAATAAACATTAACAGCTTCAACTTAACAAAAGCAGCTATCTGCAAATGTAGAGAGATGCTTTCAATAGATATTTATGTGTCACAGCAGAAGGCAAAAATGAAGGAATATGTTTCCAAAACAATTTTTTTGTTTGTTTGTTTTAAAGATTTTAATTTCATGATAGAAACACTGAAATCTTGCATTCTCCAGTTCCGTGTATCTTTAACACAAGTAGTACTCACTTCATATTCCATTCCTCAAGGAAAAAGACTTATTATTAGATGTAAATGCCATAGTAAAATAAGGATAGAAGACTTACATACCAGGGTGATCAAGGGCATCAGCTAAATCAAAATCACGTTGACCTAGAAGAAATGTGACAGAAGATACTTAAGTCAGCAGGAAGGTTTTCAAGACTTCCAGACCTGAGGGCTCTGCACAGTGCCTCTCACATCAGTAAGAGGCAAAAGAAAAACCCATCCAAAAAGCAGCAGGCTCAGAACAAGCTGTCAGCTGTCATCACTGTGCAGCACAGTCCTGAATGACTGTGAGAGGAGCTCAGTTAACTCAAGTAAGTTATTTGTTCAGGTAGGCCAAAGAGAAGCTGCTTTCTCATGTTATCATTTTGCTGTGCAAACACCCCTTTGAAGAACACAGGTTGGCAGTTAAAGAGCACAGGATTATTGCCAGGAGACAGCTGAAAGTAGCATTCAGCAGAGTACTTGTGAACCAAAATCATTAGGTGAGAATTTTTAATGTCTTCATTATTATTTTACTGGTTCAGCTTAGCAAGAAGCTTTACTGTCAAGCCTGCCTTGTGACCACTTACAAAACAAATCAACTTTTTTTTTTTAAATCTTACTGTAACATGGGCCACAAGTAAAATATATCAAGATGTGTTTACCTAATTTAGTTTCCTCCATAAATTAAAAAGTCGGAAAAGGGAAAAAAATTCTTTCTTTTCTCTGTTAGGTTACAACGATGTCTTTAAATGTCACAGCAGAGTAATTAGCATCTGTAGTTTTGAAGTTAGCAGGCAAAGAAAACTGGATAATATTTTAAGTGTATAAAGTGAAAAAGATGACTTTGAACTGAACACACTCAGTTATTCATGTGAGTTTTACTTTCAACTCTACAATCTGCCACTTTCCTTGTAATATACAGGCTTCATGAAACACGTTTGCAGAATATGTATCCAATAGTTTTCATCCAGGGTGATGCATCATCCTTGTGTTTGCATTCCAAATATAAGATCAGCCTACACAAACCCACAAAAATTATGACATGCTATGACTTCCTAAACAGAAATGCATTACTGTGCTCTACAGAGTAAGCCTCAAGCTGCACTTGAGCTATATATGTCTATCATCCTTTTTAAAAGGCTTAATACCAAACTGTTCATTGAGGAGTTTTTCTTGGCAAGTCTTGAACACTTCACAGCAAGAAAGGCGTCACTGTTGAAGTGCAGAAGCTGAGGAACAGAAAGAGGCTGCCAGAGGTTTGTCAGCACAGCAGTGCTCAGGGTTCAGCTCAGCTCCTTCATCTTGACAGGTCCTGTACATCTTCATGGCATTCTTCTCATTAATCACTGTTCCTGAATAATAGCTCTTGCTTGTGTCAAAAAGCTTCTAGAAAGATTAATTATCAGTAGTCAAACACTGTGTGAGCCTCAAATAGCAGTCAGAGCAGGAATACAAAGTAGAAATGTTTTGATTCCCACGAGGATTTTAATGTAAGTCTGTGAACTTAATTATAGATGGGGTCTGATTAAGAGACAAAACAAGGCTGGAATGCAAAGTAGGAATGGCTTCTATAGCAAAATGGTCCCAATAAAATATTAAGAGGACTGTGTTTGGTGAGTAAAAATAGGTAACAGCATAAGACTTTCCCAGAAATGTTGTCCGAGTGGCACGTTATCTCTTTATTATTTGATTTGTTCTTGCAATGTTGCCTTGTCTGGCCACCTCTCCCTCCTCTGCCCAGGCCCTTCACACAACATTGCCAAGTTCAGTAACTTGATTAGGTCTTCAGGCGAACAATATTCATGGAATCATAGAATCACAGAATGGTTTGTGTTGGAAAGGATCTTAAAGACCATTTATTTCCGACACTCTCTGCCATGGCCAGGGACACCTTCCACTAGACCAGATCGTTCAGCGACCTACTCAACCCTGAACATCTCCAGGGATGGGGTATCCACAGCTTCTCTGCACAACCCCTTCCAGTGACTCACCACACTCACAGTAAAAAACAAGTCTTCCTAATATCTAATTTAAAACTATTCTCTTTCAATTTAAAGCCATTATTAAAGCCATAATCTAAGACACTGACAGGTTGGGTTTTTTTAATATGAATCCATTGAATATATAAATATGTGAATTAAACAAGTTGTTTCATCAGAAGATACCTTCTGCTTGAGCCCTGAGTGTACAAGCAACTTAAGCTTGACAGTCCTTTGATTTTGTCCTCTGGTAAAATCCTCATTTTTGATCAGCATCCTGAGTACTGGAGGAGGCTGTCTGAACTGAACCCCATTGCCTCAGGATACCACCATCATCAATGGCTAAAACCATTTCTTGTTGGAGTGAATCATCAGGAATAAATTTTGTAACCATAATCAGAAAATGAGTCATGAAAAAAATTTTGTAATACCAAAGTGCTGTTGACCAAACCAGCTTCTTTGTTACAGGGCATGACATGCAGGAAGTAACAATATGGAAAGCAAGTACTGAGGTCTTAATGCTGTAAAGAGAATGTGCCAAAATCATCTTGTGAAGGAAGAAATACTGTGGAAAACTTTCAGGTAGAATATTTATTTGAAGTTAGGGAAAAATAAAAATAGAAGGTGGAATCTAATCAGATTATGAAATTCAAGCAAGATGATGCAGATGCTTTCAATTGCATGAGAACTAAAGCAAAACAACAGACTGAAACCATTACTTTACATTACAGTAACCATTACAGTAATTTACATTACTGCCTTTCTTCTGGATGATACAAACATTTCCCTCTCCTATTATATGTCTGTTCTGTTATGAAAAAGGTATGAAAGGCAAAAGATGTTTTGAGACTTCAAGGGAGAAGCAGAAGAAAGCTACAGAAATTTTAAGAAGAGAAAAAAGAAGACTGAAAATCTCTTGCAGGAATTATTCAGATGGATTTTTTCAAAAATTATTTCTCATAATAAATTGAGCAATAAAAAAAAAGGACACCAATACAGAATGACTGCCTGGGAGCAAGACAGGAATCTCTTTGACTATGTGAACATAAACTTTGACAGATGGGCAGTTTGTGCAGCATGGTAAATTATACTGCAATAAACCAAAAGACTGCTTGGACTTAGATGCCAGCTTCCTCTGATAGTAACATCAAATGACCACAAGGAGTAGGATTCTGTGGAGCAGAATTTTAAATGCTCATTTCCATTCCTGAGACTGTACCTAGACATTCTTAAGAATCTTATTTAAGGGGGATAACGGTTAAATAGCTGAACAGCTCATACTTTATCCACACCAAACCATATTAAAGTCTCAAAAAATAGCTCTCAGTAGGAGCTGCAGTCACTTCAGAGAACTTTGAAAATAAATGACAAGGGAAATGAATTAGTAAAGCTCTCCACAGAACAAACAGGCTGAAATAAATTAATTTTCCATTTTTTTTATTTTTTTTTTTTTGGGTTAGCTTCCATAATAGAAGGAGTTGGAAATCTACTGACGATAATGAGAATGAAAGAAATTTTACTGAGGCAGAAAGAGCTTTGTGCCACTGGTTTATTTTTAATTGGCTGGGGGTTTTGTGTTTGTTGCTGTTAGCTTTGTTGTTTGTTTGTTTTAATGTGGATAAAGTTGTGAAGAGATTTAGCTGTGCAGGTGATACTATCTCAGAGTTGTCTCTGCTATTACTGCTTTTCAGCTAGTTCTTGGCATTACTTCTAACCTTTCTTCTGGGAGTATCCCTGTTTTGACAGAGATAAAATGACAGTAATAATGTTTTTTGTGGGTGGTCCTCAATGATTCATAACAGAGAATTCGAGAAAAATGCTTGTAAAGTCTTGTCCTCAGGCACAACTGCATTTAGTGTTCACAAATTTTGAATATTAGTTTTCTGAAAATGTGACCCAAATATCCAGTCACTAAAATGCAGACAGCAGCACCTTTTGTCCATGGTTTAATTTGTTATCTAAATGTTGAATGGATCCACCACCCTTTAACTCTGTTTGTTCACAAGGATCTGAGGTCCCACAGTTTTTGAGTTGAATTTATGAGGAACAAGGCTGGATTCTGCAGGTGAGTGTTACCAGTTTCTCATGAAAACAGCAGTCAAATTTTCTGACAAAAGGGTGCCATGACATCACTGCAGTTTTCAATCTCCATATGAACACAGCTTGTGGCCCTTAAAATGATGCAGATTTAAATAAGGCAGCAATTAATATTTCTAAATGAGGATTGGATTATGTGACAAATGAAATTAACTTCTCAGGTTTTTAATTAGCATAGCCTAGTATTAATAAGGAAGCTAAATTCCATGAGAAAATGTGTTTGTATGTGTTTATACATGTTTCTGGACACACACCTAAATACATATATGTACATGTGTGTTATATAAATAATTTTGTCATTAACATGATTAAATTAATTGGTTTTGGGTACATTGCTAGTAGTCATATGTTTGGGATGAGATTACCTGTGTGACAAATAAATTAGAAGCAACTAACTTCTAAGTCTGAGCAAGATAGAAAGGGAGAATAAGTTGATTTTAAAGTATTTAAAGATTTGAACAAGTATGATTTCTTCAATGCAATTAAATAGTAATTGTGTACATGAATACAATGAGATTAAAACATTATGAATCTGACAGAGACTGAGAAAGAAGTCTGTGACTTAAAAATGAAAAAAAAAGTTTTCTAAAAGAGATCAATATGTTACCAAAATCACTCATGATACTCATTTTATGTTTTTTTTTTAAAGATGAAATTGTAAGTTATTCTTTGCACAGGCCATTTCTGATTGTAACACGATCAAGAAACCTATTTTCTCCGTAATGAGAAAATAGGATGTATTTTCCCATGTGTGGGACTTGGAACATACCCGTGCACTGGTCCAACTTTATTCAGGAAGTAATTATGTTTGTTTAAAGGAAATTACTCATTTCTGGGAGAACACAAAGGTTTACGCCCCAGAGTGGACACTGTGGACAAAATCTCAATAAGCAGGTATTATGTCTTTCATGTAATAGCGTCACAATCCATATGTCCTGATGATGTTATTGTAGTGTGTTTTTCCTTTAAGGACCTTTAGTTTCATAAACAACAATTTCCATTACAACCCCTTGATGCTGGGGTGGAAAATGAGTATGCTTTAAAATCTATAATTAAGATCCAAGGTCCAGTATACAGACCACAACATGTGGACCTTATTATTGGCTTCATATTTTTTGCTAGGCCACTTTTGGTTTTAGTTTAAATGCAAGGGAAATGAAAAGGACTTGCTTGTTTATTCATACAACAGCAGATTTAAATAATTACCAGCAGGTAAGATGCATTAATAAAGTAGGAGTGGCAGTACTGCTTCAGCTCTGTGCAACATAATCTCTCCAAACACAAAAGAAAATCTTTCAGTTCTATGATACATGCCTTTCTGTTCAAAGGTAACTGATGTTCTTTATGATCTAATATGCCCTGCATATATAAAACAAAACAGATACAATTTTTTGTATTTTGCTTCAGAGTGAGTGCAGAAGATGGTGTGTGTTGTAAAATTCCAGGCAGAGTAAGAGAATTGGGATCTCCCATGAAGGAACAACTGCATGTTTCTGTGCACCTTACTCAGATTTTCAGCTTTGTGTCATCAGGCAAAAGAGCTTAGCCCATGGTGTGGGCTCTTAATCCAAAGCTTCTCTCTGTCACTACAGGTTCACGCAGCTGCCAGCTCTTTTCAGCTATTTGGTCTGAGAGCTAATGATGTTTGGTCAGAGGGCTTAATGGTGGTCACATTACATGAGAATTGTACTCAAACAAGAGACCTGTATGAGTATTCCTACTGAAATCCTTAGTGTGGCACAGGCCACAGCTGTGTTGGCTCTCAGAGGGACCACTCTGCCTAAGTACCAGCTGGCTAATCCCTGCTTTCTCCAGTGAGCAGTCTGGAGACAACAGAGGGAACTGAATATAATATAGACAGTCAGGGACATGCCAGGCTTTGCTGTTTCTCTTGCTCACAGAGTGTGTTTTAATGTTCCTCTTCCCACTTCCACACCAGGTACGCTGGTAAAACGCATGCAAAATAGCTCTTGACCTTCAATATTGTTAGCCCCTGATTCCTTCACCACTGGTGTAATTAGACCAGGGATGTAAAGAAGAACTTCAATTTATCTGCTAATCTTAGTGCCTAGTCTGGCATTTGCATTCATTTTTTTCTGTAGCATTGTTGTCCTTTGAAAATATATTGCTTTGATTTAACTTTTCCATAAATTCTTCATGAATTAAAAATCTATTGATAACAGGCAAAGCTGATTCAGTGGAAGTGGGACTGTTATATTTTCATAATCCATTCAAGCCCATTCTTTCAACTGGAATGGTGTGTTTGCCCTCAGAAGACACTGCACTACAGGTCAGATTTAAATACTTTTAGTGTTTTCCCACAACATTCATAGATGTCAGCCTGTGGAAAGGAAGGAAGGAAGACTCAAATCAAAACAAACTGTATCTCTCTCCTCCTACTATGAGGCAAAATGCCACAGAAAGGTTTATTTTTATTGATTTATAATCCTGAAAGAATTATGACATTTATTTGCTATTTATTACCCTCAATGGGATGGAAATGGTTTGGCAATTGATGGTACAAGTAAGTTAACAATACACATTCCAGCAGGCTGGTCACTGCTGCCAGGCTTGCAACATGGCAGCGATGTTTGAAAAGTGAATTAAGTGTTTCAACCAGTTCAGGTATGTGGATTTTTCAAACTGCAATCACACCCTTAGCTGATAACACCGATGTGACTATGGATAATCACAGTTCAGGTCTTGGGAGTGACATACTTTTGTCAGGCAGCAAAAGAGAATGTGTTGAATCTGTAAGTGTTTCTGCACATCCACACACCTCACACAGAACAGTGAGGACTGCAGATACATGGAGCAGTAGGAGAAAAACAGGACTCTTATCTCTCCTGTTCTTTTAACTCAAAACTACATTATTCACAGAACTAAGTCACATAGGGTCTCAAATTCAAACAGGTCTACAATTTTCTCCCCATACAGTGCACAGCTGATTAACCAAGACTACAACTGATTTTGAGTCAAAAACTTTGTAAGCCTTATCTGAACAGAGATGCATGGCTTACAGACTAGCAATAAATGCTGCTCCCTTTACCTATGTAGCGTTCAATAGCTGATGGAGTAAACGTAAACCATCTCAGGTATGTACACTGTCTTTGTTACTGGCTAAACCTGGGATCTATCAGTCAGCATTAAAGACCATGGATATATAGATTGTATCTCATTGGGAACTTGAGGAGCATTCTGAGCAGTCAGGTCTGAGTGAGTCTCAGTTGCCTTCCAAGTCCACATAGGGGAGAGCCCACAGGTTGTACAGCTTCCCCACTGCAGGTGTGCACACGGATTTGTGGCTCAGATGGGATCTATATTTCAAAGAGATGCATGATCTCAGTTACCAGGGAGCAACCTGAGTTGTGTCTGAGCACACTTTGGCAGTGTAGACACTGAATTACCTAGAAACCTGAATTACTAGAAATCAGAAAAGCTGCATGAACTCTTGAGGGATGTTACTGTGAAATTCAGTGGAAGAAGTTTCTGTGAAGTTTATTTCATTTTGACTGGGCTGAAAGCCTCACAGACAATTAGTTGTTGAAGCTCAAATACATAGGACCTATGCAACCTAAGTCTGAAAAATTCCAAAAGCTAGAATGAAACTGCATCAGATTTCACTTTCATTTTGTGCAATATGGTTCTTGGTTCTGTTATGCTTCTGTCGAGATGTGTCCATCAAGGTAGTCTAGCCAACTAGATAGCTGGACATAAAGGAAATGCTGGATGGTCAGAGGAATGGTGCCATCTGTGTGGTGATCCAGTACTTTATAGATGCTATCACAGAGGATTACAATTTAGAAAATAATTAAGCTGCCTATAAAAGGGTGAATCATGCCATAGACATTCTTTTCATAAGAACTTAGACCAGCTTTTCACCAGCACAGCCAAGCCTTTCTCATACCATGTCTTGATTGGGACTGAGAAGAGGTTCTTGTAAATATCCCCTGAAACATAGTAAATACTTTGATGGTAAAATTCTGTGGCTGTTGCCACAGACTTGAAATAATTAAGTTTGCTCGTCAAAATGGATTAAATAGTTTCCAGGTTCATAAGACTGTGCCCAAAGCCCACAGCAACATTCAGCAATGACTTCTCCCCCAAAGCAGAGCCTGAACTGGCTCTAAATTAACACATGTATAAATGAAGAATGATTAGGCTGACTACCCTTGTAATTAAAATGGTAGAGTATATGCAGATTGGCCTGCTCATGCTCAGATTGTCTAAACAGAACTATTCAACATACGACAGTTACAGAACAAGAAAGTCTGCATGCCAAGAGGTGAGAGACTGCATGAATCATCACCGCTTACAACACAACATGCAGGCCAGCACAGTCCTCCTGCTCAGCTCTTTCTATGCCATGCTAATTGCTGAAGACTTCTAAAAAATTCCTCATTTGTTAAAATCAAACCACTGAACTAAGTTAGGAAAGTATTTTTCACTGCCCATCACTGCAAGATCTCCTCGGGACTTCGTTTAAATAAGGGGTGGTGGGGGGATCAGCAGAAGGTGCTATTTTGGAGCTAGTGATTAACAAGTGATTTCATCCTGCAGCCAGCACTGTACTAAAAATTTCTGCAGAATTGCTAATATACAAAAACGAAAAGGTTATAAGTACACCACATAGGAGATGAACACAAAGATAAGTCTATCTGGTTTGACCTCCAGAAAAGTTTGAAAGAATATTTTGCTGAAAGAAATTACGTTTAAACATAGTGAAATGACTCAGGTATGAAGAGGCTACATTTTCCCCCTTGCTATTTATTACTCAAAAATTATATACAAAATGTATTCAATTCTCAGTCCTGCATGAAAAAGTATGTTTGTGTGTGGAATACTTTTACTAAGGTTAATAAACTATTAGTCTATAATTATTAAAGCATATGCACAAATATAAAAGCATGAACACCTTTAAACTGAATCTGAATTTGTTTTTACAAGAAAACTCAGAGGTTTCAAAATACAAATAACTAAGAAAGGCTTTAAAACATGCCGTCATAATTTGACTAAGGATCTCTTTGGAAACTGTAAGTTCCCCTGGAAGCTCTCATTTTACAGCTTCCATTTAAAGAAGTTCATAGTCGAGCCTAAGCTTGTGAATCATTTTAGGGAAGCAACACCAGCGAGAAAATAAAAAATTATAATGAACAAACTTTAAGCAGCATCGCTATTATGAACAATCATCCCGGAGACATGTGTCTCTTTAGAAACTGGTGAAGTACACATAAACACTTCTGAATGCTTCTCATGAAACAGCAGCTACAAAAAACCCAAAAAATTCTAGCAAGCATTTCCAAATAAACAAACATCCCTTTGAGAGGTTGGGAGCTTACGTTTATTTTGTTTTATTTTGTTGGGTTTTTTTTCATTTTTAATAATCTAGCCTTTGAAATAAGCCAAGGTAAAGGTCACTTACCTCTTACATGGACTAGAAGGAAGCCAAGGCACAAAAGAAAAATACTTCTGAATTTCTCCATGCTCCTTTGTGCAGTGCTTTGATTGCACCAGTTGTTTTTTTTACAAGCAATGATAGCAGATGTTGCAGCTTCAGTGCCAAGGTTTGAGGGAGACACCTGGAATCAGCAGCTCTCTCCGAAGAGGTTTCTCACCACCACACCCAAACTCTGCAAGAGAGAGAGAAACCTTTTTGTGTGCGAGGCAAGTAAGAAAAGCAAGCAACTCTGCTAGAGCCAAGCTGTGAGCAGCACATTAGGCACCACCTGTGCTCCAAGAAACTTATTTATTACCCAGGCAGGAAGTACAGAGAGCTGGGGAAGCAGCGGCAGCACCCAATGAGGAGGGTGCCCAAACACCCTGGATCCACCTCCTATCCAGAGGGGAAAGACAACCTGTTTGACATCCTAGCCTTCAAAGCAGGGTGTGGTGCTGCGGGAGCTCAAGTAGCTTGTAAGAGGAGACTGTCTTTCTCTGAAGCGTGCTTGAAAGAATCACTCAGACATACTCTGTCCTCAAAGCAGCACTTCACTGCTTGTTTCTTGGCTCAGGAATAACAGCTGAGAGAAGCAATCCTGTCAGCCTTAACCCCTTACTCAGGCCACCAAATTAAAGATTAATTAAATTAAATTTAAAATATTATGTTGGACTGCTGAAATGAAGCATGCTCCGCTCCCCAGTGGATGCTTATCTCCACATTGCCCATCATGATTGTTTCTATTGATCTAGTTTGTTTATTTTAAATATAAATATCCATGCATATCCTCCCTGGCAAGAGATGTCTGCTGACTGTGATGGTATAAAGCTTTGGAAAACGGAAAAAAACCTATCTGTACATGGACAAACTTTTAAATACTGATGTGGTTTAAATCCAGTTTTGTCATAGCATCAGTTATCTCGTGCATCTCTCTAGCAAACACATGTGCCTACAGTCTTGTCCTTTGAAGTGGATTGCAGCCATCACCCTGGTGCCCAGCAGCAGCAGGGTGACTGGTGTGCATCCTCCCTTGTGCCTGGGGAATAAGCTGCAGGGGGTTTTGTCAGAGCTGTTTTGTCTAGGGCAGCAAATAGCTGAGGACTCTGCCACCATGAGTGGCCAGTCTGAGCACTCGAGGTGTTTCTGGGTGATTCAGTCTGTGGGGCACAGGCTGCCCCCAGCTGCATTTCTGTTGAGTTACCCAGAATGTACAACTGAACTCCTGCTTTCATGCTAACTACAAAAAACAGATGCAACAACATAAAATGGACAGATAGAACTTGGTGATACTACATCCTCAAGAAGCTTGACATTCAAGTAGGTCAGCTCACTCCCTCTCCCCTGCCGAACTTTGAAACAACAGAATGGTTTTTAAAGGTCTGGTTTATAGCTACTAACAGAAGCTCTAAAGTTTAATTTGGGTACAATCATTCCCCATGTCAGGGCAAATTGCTCAGTCTCAGAACAGTTAAGGACATTTAGGCTGAAGAGGTGACTTTTTCAGCCAGTTAAAACAAGAATTATACCATGAAATGAGCAATGCCATAAAGCCACTGTTGTTTAGTTTGTTTTTTTCCAGAATGCCAAAAGCAGGCCCACATGTGCTATCTCCATACAAGTGATGAATTTGCCCAAAGGGAACAGGAATGTTGGCAAGGTTAGGTACTAGTCCCAGGCAGGTCCAAACAGCTTACACACATTCAGTAGCTTTACTTCAAAACAGTTGTTCCTGCAACTGAAGTCTTCCCAAAATGCATTGTCTCACCTGTCTGCTGATACAACTTCGTTGTGATATCGAAAATTCTCAGATGAAGTTGGAAGATGATGTATATTTTGTTCAGTTCTTCTGATGTCAGCTATTGTTCTATCTATATAAATAACAATATGAAGGTGGGTGGCACTGGAAGGAGCAGATCTAGTGTAGGAGTCAGGATATATTGAATGCTTATCTCCCTCCTGTTCTTGGGAGCGTTACAGGAACTTCTTAAGTTCCTGCACCTAGAGGTGCTGTCAAAAACAGGCAACAGCTTGCCCTAGATAACAAGTGAAAAATATTGTATATTAAAAAGAAATATGAGTTAATACCTGACCCTAAATCACAGTTTTAGCACTTGAAAAATCATTGACCCATCTCTTTCTGTGTAAAAGAAAACAAAGTTCTCTCTACGATCCATCTGAAAAGGTGGATGAATTGCCTATATATTTTACTTGTCTTTTAAGGAAAACCCCAATATTTTAGAAGGGCAAATAGAGGTAGAAAAAGAGCCTATGTGCCTGTCTATTCTCTACACCACATACTTTTACCACATCATGCCTCTTTGAGATGAGAAAAGCTAAAAGGGAAAAAGAGTTCAGTCACAACTCATCACAGTGGCAGCCCCATCTTGTAGGCAGAGGTCAGACATTGCTCTCTTTGGCACGGGTAACCTGCTGTATGTGTCTGTGGAGATGAAAGAACTGAATTATACACTAGAACTACTTGGGAATGCCACTAATATCCTACACTACTCATCTTTTTTCATAAGAACAGAAGTACTTTAATTAAGATACAGAAGCATCCAGATATATAAGCCATTAATTTAAATGTAAGCCAAACACACAAGTGAATTGGTGATACAATGTCTTGGCAACAGAAGAATACAATTACTAAGTAAAGCTTCAATGATTTTTGACAAGCAGGTGGAAGATATTTTATTCTTGTGGTTAGTAAAGTACTCCAAATGCAGAGATTTGGGAAAACCATGGGTTTGCTCCATTTAAGTCCTTTTCCCATTCCTATTAATGTCTTCACTTCCTTTAAATGGGTCTTTATATCTGTGTAACAGAAAAGAGCAAAAAGGAAGTAATATTTTCAACCTGTGAAAAGGTTATGGCTTGCTTCATAATCTTCTCAAGGGAAAAACACACATAGAACAGTGTTTTTGAGGTGGTGACCAGAAGTAAAAAGTGAAAAAAAAAACCAAAAAAACAAACCCACAGAAAAGCATCACTGAAAGTGTAATTCAGCCCAAGATATACTGAAAACTGAGTGCACTAAAATGTTTTTCTTAGCATTCAAAATTTGGCTCAGATACTGAAATATGCACAAGAGCTACAGCAAAATGCTGCCAAATGTTATGCTTAAGATTTGCTTGCTTTTGTTTGCACAATCCAATGAATTCATCTGGATATCTTTGAATAAGTATTTGAAATGAACATTGCATTTGAAAACCATCATAACATTTTTCAGGCAGTCTTTTCCACCAATAGGATGAATAAACGGCCACTGCAGCTATCTTGAAGAAGCTAAAGTGACATGTTATTCCACAACAAGATCCTGCTTTGATTATTTTTCCTCCTATTTGATTATTATTCCTCCTATTATGATGGTAACTCCTCCTCAGGCTCAAAGGGTTGAGAAACTGGGATAAGAAATGGAAGTGAAGGGGGTGTGCCACAGGAACGGTACCATGCTCTTTGTTGCCATCCATTTTAACTCAGTTTGATGGTAAAGGTGCCTCATGGGGATCAACTTGGACCTAGAAAGGACAGTATTTTTTCATTCCACTGTAGTCTGATTGAAACGTGTATAGAAACTATGTTAATTCCCATATCTGAAAGTCAGTAGCAGATCATAAGGCCATGATGGGCAGCAGATGATCTGTGGGACATGACTCTAGAACTACTCCAGTAGAGTGGTGAACAGTGGTTAACTGATAATGTTTCCTGTCCCAACCAGAGGGAGAAATAATAAATTAGAATATTTAGCTCTGCTAAATACATTCTGCAATGTAATGGCAGTTGAGCGAGAAAGAAACAAGATCAAAGTTTCTGTGGGTAGTGAGGCAAATAGAAATGTAGCAATTAATACCCCAATAACCGTGAGTGAACCTTTTATCCAGGTGGCAGCAGCCAGTCTTTCTTCCTTCTTCCACAACTCCAGACTGTGGAACCATAACTGGACAAATCAGTATGTTGGAAAGATCAGTAAATGTGTTGCTATTTAGGCGCTTGGCAACCCCTGCTTTGCCTTCCCATTCAGTAACTGTATGGTCCTCTCACATCAGAAGGTGAGACAACACATGGCCCTGCAAAAGCATCTACTGCCAAAGGATCTGATGTAATTGGGTGAAGAAAATTGAATGCCATTAAGTTTGCCCATACTAAGATGTCTAAGTCTTAGGTTCAGTATTCTGAAATAGCATATTTAATTCTATAGCATATTTTCAGTAGATTCTGAGTTACCAAATCCTTTTCTTCAAAAGCTATGCCTGTCGAGGAAGACAAACTATCTAAAGGATCCTTCCCTAGGTGAGTGAGCACCAAGTTTTTTATTTTCAGAACTAGTGAGAAAAAGAACACCTAAATATTTTTTTTATTATTTATTTATTTTTAGAAAAAACACAATGTTGATAGGTCTTAATAAGTAATTTTTAGGCTCACAAAAGCTGAAAAAGGATTCAAGAGTCTTGGTTAGCTAAAAGCTAGTTTGAGGTCCTCCTGCCATTTTATCCCTAAGAAACATCGTCTTATTTTTATTTACTCTACACTTGGCATAGATATATCTGTTTATTCATGTAGGCAAGCAGTACATTTCTTTTCTTTTTATTTACATAAATCAAATGTTTATGTAGGAATCACTTTTGCACTCTGAAACACACTTAAAGGCTTTAGCATTTTATACTAAAAGCAGACCTGGGGCAAAAAAAGGGACTTACAAATTAAATCCATAAGAAAATACTAAAAATTGTGTAAAGCTTTGTTGCAAGCTAAGAAACATGTACAAGAAATTCTTAAATGAATTATCCTTGGCATACATTCATATTTGAATGTACAGATATATTTACAGGTTTAATATCCAAATTCATTAATTTCTAAGTTCTAAGATGTTCCATGAAATGTCATCTTCCTGTAGAACTTCGTCAGGTGGCTGAAGCCCATTAATAAGACACATATAGAAGAACTGCATAAAAATTTAAAGCAATTAGAATGAAAGAAAATCAAACTGGTCAGACCATTCCTTCCTGACAAAACTAATTATTATTACAGATTTAGTCCTTTAGCTGTTGTGAGTTGTAGTTTTCCATATTTCCACAGATCCTTGAAACCTTCCTGTTGCTTTTGAGAGCCACAGCACAGGCAACAAGTGCTTTCAGAGGAGGATGAAACCATAGGTGATCATCCTAGGGGAATCCTTCACAAGTCCAAAAGCACTTCTCACATGTTTGTTATTTCTACTGTTCAGTGGATGCCTGTGGAGTGAGGTTGGCTTGTTCTAGTCAGACTTGCTGTAGTTTGGAACTGTGGTACTGTTTCTGTCCCTTACACAGGTATGATAAGCCTTCTGAATTCAACACTATTTTCCCTTAAGCTTTTGGCTATGGAAGTCTGCAGATAATTCCCACCCCCAAGTACTCTATCCACAACTGTTTAGACAATGCAAAACATCAATGTCACCAGAAAGTCCAATTATGCTTCTGATCTGCACAGCAGGCTTTTCCACAACTGACCAGCTCCGTACTTGCTAAGCAGGAAGAGCCAGAAAGGGTGAAGGCTTGGTGTGCATTGGGTTTTCTCAATCTGTACCAGACAGATGCAATGAAAAAAAATCTAAATACAAAACAGAATTTTTGTCTCCTGAATGCTCAAGCACAAGCATCTCTTCCCTGGCAGCTGGCCCAGGCAGCTACACAGATTGGATCAGCAGCACCCACACCCAGATCCACCATCCATACACAGTGAGCCGCTTGCTTTCAGATGCCCACAACATACTCCAGGTTGGTTGGTTGGTCCACTCACTGAGTACAGGTTATTTAAAAAATATTTGTATTGTCTGAGAGCAGTAACATAACAAAAAACATAACTGCATATTGGTTTTGGAGAGGTAAGGAAAAGTTAAACACACTGAATGCACTTGCCAAACACCCATTTGTCAGAGGAGTCAAGGAAAGATGTAAAGGCACAACATACTTCTATACTCCTGTCATTAAGGCCATGTACTGGCGTGCAACAATGCTTCACAGGGCTAACCAGACAGAGTTACTCAGGTCTAAGTCACAGTCCCAGAGGTGTTTCAAACTAGAGCTGTTTTCTCATGAAACTTCAGCAGGCTCTGCTGTTCATATTATGCTTTTTAGTTTCTTTCTTTTTTTTTTGTTTGTTTTTTTTGTTTGTTTTTTTTTTGGCAGAATGCAGGTTGTTTATCCAGTTCCAAAGATCTGTTCCTCACCACTCTTTCTTTAAATTTAGTTCTCCAGAAGTGTGCGCTGAACTGAAAAGAGAAAAACAATTCTAGATTAGTGCACTAAGTTGGCATACAATGTAAGTTATACATTATTATGTAACAGTTTATGCAGTCAACAACTTTCAGAAGATGTCTGACACTGCATGATGAATTTAGGTAAACAGAGGCTTGATTCTGTGAAGCCAACAGGCTGCCTAGCAGGGGATATTACATCCCAGATTTTTTACTCAAATAACCACATCCTACTACATCAGGGAAGTGATCTACACTTGCAGAGTAACACAGTTCAGCATTCAGTTCTTGCACATACAAACAGGCTGCTCATTCAAAAAGCTACTGAAAGCAAGTTCCTGGGTTCAGGAAGTCAAAGATAGGTTTACATAAAATTTTAAAAAGACAGACCTATTCTGCTATGCCATTTGAGCTGGCTTAATGAGAGACTGCTTCTGACTGGAAGCCATGTAGGTACATCTTTTACCAAAAGCAGCCCTAACATCTGCTGCCTCCCAGAACTCAGATCAGGAGCAGCATGATGACCATGGCTGCCCAGTCTCTTATCTCAACACATGATCATGCCTGTCTGCAAAATATAATAGAGATATGAAATTTGGGATGTAATACGACATCAATATGTAGGTAGAAATAACCATATTTGGTAACATCCCAAGTGTGACTTTACAGGTTAAAATAAGGTATGCATCACCTGATGCATTTCACTTTTGAGTTCTGGTGAATCTTGGCCAGAATTTTAGCATAACCCGATACCTCATATTTTAACTGCCTTTGGTAGAGGACTTTTCTTCCCTAATGCACAGCTGAATTGAGGATACCTGAGTATCTTCAGTCCTTACAGCCAATCATAAGAAAATGTTTTGTACTTGAGAGTTTTATCTATTTAACAGCTTTAAGTATTTACAAAGAAGATAATGAACCAGACAAAAGTTTATAACAAACTGATGCAATACCTGAGAAGAATAAGGCAAAATTAATTTTTTAACTATTAAAAAATACAGAAATAGTTCTGCAGGTTTAAGATTAAACTCCCAGAAGAATATACTGTAAATATATACTGCTTTGATATTTTAATACTCAGTACTCCAAAACCAATGAACTTCAGCATGAGATTATAGTGCTTCTTCCTTTGTTGACCAGTCACAAGGGCTAGAAGGCTGAGTTTCCACCTGTACCATTTCCTCCACATCTATCCACAGATTCCTGGAGCTTATCACCTGCTCCATTAGCCAAATCCCCTACACAAGATTCCTGGAGCTTATCACCTGCTCCATTAGCCAAATCCCCTACACAGCCATATATGGAAGGGCTCTCAGAGTTTGTTTCTTTAAAAGAGATCCTTCCACAGCTCTCACCTTTGTAGAAAGATTAATTGTATGATGGTTCTTTCATACAAGAATTATTCTCTGTTCACAACAGAGAATGCTTTAATAACATGCTAGTGAGTTCAGTCCTCTTTTCCTCCAGTATAGTTTAATCTCTGTCCAAATATCACAGATTTTTTAATATACATTCTTGCAGTGTTCTGTATCAGTTGATAATTATAATTAGAAAAAACTGGAGAAAAGTGGCCATATTGTCAGAACCAAATGCTTGATTCAGTTCTAAGTTTGTTGTCATGGTAAAATCATAGAATCACAGAATCATTTATGTTGGAAAAGACCTTTCAGATCATCCTTTTTAACTCTTACCCCAGGACTGCCATGTCCACCACTAAACCATGTCCCTACATGCAACATCTATATATCCTTTATATATCTTTTCCACAGATGACAACACCTCTGCTTTCCTGAGGAATTTCTGAGCAGCCTGTTCCAATGCTTGACAACCCTTTACATGAAGAAAGTTTTCCAAAGATCCAATCTAAACCTCCTCTGGCAATGTTTGAGGCCATTTCCTCTTATCCTGTCACTTGTTACCTAGGAGAAGTGACTGACACACACCTGGCTACAACCTCCTTTCAGGTGTCTGTAGAGAGTGAAAAGATGACCCCTGAGTGATCTTTTCTCCAGGCTGAACATCTCCAACACCTCCAGACACTCCTCATAATGTGTGTGCTCCAGACCCCTCCCCAGAACCATTGCCCTTCTCTAGACATGTTTCAGCACCTCAGTGTCTTTCTTGAAGTGAGGGGCCCAGAGCTGGACACAGCACTTGAGGTGTGACCTCACCAGTGCCAAGTACACAATCACAGCCTGTGATTGTGGCCTGGTGGCCACACTATTGCTGATACAGGCCAGGATGGCACTCACCTTATTGGCTACCTAGGCACACTGTTAGCTCATATTCTGCCAAAATTGTCAATTTTTTTTTTTTTTAACAAAACAACACAATTCATTTTCTCCAGTATGTTAGATGTCAATAAATCCCACTTAATAGGATCCCCACCAAAGAGCTGAACTTCCATATAGATTCTTGTCTTACCAGGTGGCTCAGATTGTGCTCCCCTATGGCTTTCCATATTCACATTCTCTTCATCTGCTGAAAAAAACCCCAGATATTTAGCATTCAAATTCTCTTATATTTGAGGTTCTTGATAGATAGAGATAATCTGAGAGAAGAAACAGCAGTGAAGAAAATGGGCTACTGATAGTAGTTGAGGTGCCCTGTTTTATCTGCACATTAATTTAAACATGCATGGTAGAGATGTTATTCAGTTTCCAAATTTCCCAACTAACATAACAGCAGTGCCTGACCAAATGACTGCTCTATCCCTTCACTAAACCAAAAAATTTAAACAGACAAAACCAAAGCTTCTGCCCCTCCTATCACCCACAGTACTCCCCAAGCTCTCTGATCCAAGCTGTATCTTATTTAGGTAGAAAGGAAGCAAGCAATAGATGACTGCAGAAGAATCATTTGGGGATAAACATTGGGTAAATTGTCGTAAAACTAGAAATAGGCAGGCATCTTGTGAAGATACAAAAGCAAAATTTAAAAAATTAGAAACTACAAAGTATTTTTCAGCATGAAAAAGTCTCTAATCCCCAACCTCCACTTGATTCTCCTTAAAAAGTACTTTTTGCAGTCTCTCCTGCTTATCTTTTAGCAAGAAGTGCTTTTATTCTAAGAAATGTAAAGCTTTAAGTCCTCCTAGTTTTGAAACTCTAATTTTTGGGCAAAGAATTCTTCAGTCTTAGATGACTAGCAGGAAAGGTTACTCCCCGTGAACATAAATTCACTGAGCTATTACAACTACTTTATGCAGAGGATCAATTTATAGACCACATATAAATACAAAAATGCCTCTCTTTAGACAGTAGGAAACAAAACTAATTTGGAATTCTTACCACTTTGCTTGAAACAGAGTTTCTTCTTCTGGTAAGCAATGAAGCTAGATACTGTTCCAATTAGAGCAGCACCCACAGCACTTACAATTCCAGCTATTGCTCCTGGAGAAGCTAAAAAAACCCAGAGACGTTTGTATGCATTTTACAGAACTGAAAGCCATGTCAAAGTACCATCTCAAAATAAACCCTGTGAACACTTGCAAAAACCATTAAACTGAAATTACATGAAATTGTAATAACTCTGTGCATAATGAAAAGGGAATCCTCTCACTTATAACCACTGATTTCTTAGCAATGCCCATTGTTAAGGAACTTAACCATGCTTGTTTTAAATTCTACTAATTAAAAAAGCAACCCTTTCATAGCCATATCTATTTTGTATGCATGCAACCCCTGCACCAGCATCTCTGAGACCTTAACACTTAGGAGTCACTTGTAACACAGAAATGTTAAAGCACTGAGGAAGCAGAGCTTAACAGCAGAATTCCAGATTGCACAAGCTTTTTAATTGTAACCCACTCCCAGTAGTGACCATTCTAGCAGAAGATTAGCAATCAGAAGCCCCGAGAAAACAAGCTTCATACATCCAAACACCAGCATGCACACAAATTCATGCATTTATTTACCCTCTTCTTGGCCAGTTTTTGGAGTTGGGCCCTTTCTCTCTGTAAAAATGAACGGAGAGTTTACATTTTATATGTCTAAAGAACACTCATCCATTGACAAATGTTTTGTCAATTAATTATGCAAAATCACAAACCATCTATTACATCAATACAGTGCTAAATTGGCACTGAAACTTTCTGTTTTTCAAAGCATGGCTGAGAGCAGTGCCAACTCCAGCCTTGAGTGCTCAGCACTTCTACAAAATGAGCTCATAACATTTGTGAAATCTGGTTTAATAAGCCTGTGCATCACCACAGAGAACTCATACAATTTCAATTTACTCATTTACTAATTCAATTTACTAACTCTATCTGTCATGTGCAACTTGTAACACTGAGGCAGGAACCTGTCCAGGTGAAACCACCACACAAGTCTCCACAGATGTTTCTTGCCCCTTCCAATTTTCAAGTACTGCCCCAAAGGAACCTTGGAAAGGGAAAGCTACCAAAGAAAGCGGCATCAGTAATCTCTATCTAGGACAACTCTCCAGAGAGTTAGCACATCCCAAACCTCATCAAGATACTTAAACTAACTCTGATCTGGAAATAGTAAGATTGCAGTAACTCACCAATTAGACATAGCAAATTGCCAACAAAAGTTTGTCAAGCTATGAAAAGGTTTTATACTGCTCAGAGTATAGAACCATATGGTGGAAAAAGGACCTTAGGGACCTTAGCCATCACTGAGCTTCAAACCTCCCACAGGCAGGGACACCTTCCACTAAACCAGGTTGCTCAGAGCTCCTTCCAACCTGGTCTTGAACATTTCTAGGGATGGAGCATCCACAACTTCTCACTTCCTCACCTCTCACCTGTCCTATCACCACCACAGTAAAGAAGTGAGGACAAAGCATCACTTGGAAGTGAAAAGATCAGTTCATCCTGTGGGACAAAGGAAATCCTTGAGAACACAAGGTGGACCCTCTTCTGGCCCACTCCTAGACTTCCTGCCTACAAGAACTAAAAGAAACTGAGAGTATGTCATAGAAGATCAAAAATAGCACTTGAATGACCTTAAAAACTGTATTTATGGTTAATTTTGAAATAAGTACTGCATTCACATTTCAGTTTTAGAAGCCATCTTTCTTAGTGTAACAGTAAAAACCACTGAAAATTTTTGCTCTAGACCAGTTTTGCCTCTTAAATATTTGGGGCTTTTTTTTCGGCAGAGACAGAGCATATTACTTTTGAACTTGAAAGTATGCTCTTAAGTTTCAGATACCAGAACCAGATGTGTTACAAATTGGAGCATGTCTAACCAGCTTGTGAGCAAGCTTTAATCAAAAGCTCAGGTAGCCATAGAAACAATATGAAGCACAACCTGCTATCTTACCATTGCTGCCACTGCCATCACTTCCTCCTTTTGGGGAATTGCCATCCAGTAGATCAGAATCATCAAATGTGTCTATAAAGTAATGCAAATAACATTGCCATGTTTCAAGTTCAGTGAGTAAGACACACCAAGGCATATAATAGCATGGAAATTTTCTCAAGACCATTCAACTGAATTTGTGGTGATTTTAGGCTCAGCACCAAAGTCACAATATTTAACTTTTTACAACCACTCACGATGTCAAGTCCCTTCAGCTCAGCACTACACAGCTTGACAGCAGAGCTCCTTTCTCTGGACTTCCTGAACAACTGAGAGAAGTCAGTGTCCAAGAGCAGGTAGTACTGCACAAATCAGGCTATGCAAGCAAGGAGCCCTATAAGCCACTTAACTCTAATAGCCCAAATCTTACTGTACTGCAAAAGCAAAGAAAGAACATGGACAAAAAAGGACCATTTACTTTTAAGGCTGCAATTGAAAATGATTCTTCAGAGTTGGGTCTTTAAGTCACAAATAGTCCATATGTACTTCCCTTCTCTGATTTATTGCAAGACATTGAAGTAGTCCCTCTCCATTTCCACTAAACCCTACCCCGTGGAGCTTTCCTGTCTCCCTCATGGCACCTTCTCCTCCTTCCCTCTGCTGCCAAATGAATATTTAGTTCACAGAAAGCAAATGTGTTTCAGGCAGAAAAACTGAAAGTATTGCATCAGAGGATGTTTTAGTTGGGTACCAAAGGCACTGTACCGCAGCATGCAAGACTTAAATTCAAGTATCTGCTGCAAATCAGTGTGGTGAAAGAACAAGAACTGAGGCTTGCATTCCAGGGCTCTTTACTACCATGTTTGTGAATAATGGCATCATCACACCTGCATCCATCTGAATCTGTTTCGTTCTGGGTTAGGCAAAGCTGGAAAGGACCTCTAAAGGTAGAGGGAAGGAAATGTATTTTAAACCTATCTTTCAAACACAAATATTTGTATTTCTTGATAGCGCCTTTAAATTAAAAAAAAGAAGCAACCCTTTAACTTGGAGCTTTAATTTTGATCCTTTGAGAAGATCACAGGCAGTTGCTACTTACTTTTGAGCATGACTAGAAGGGATTCAGTTTGTAAAGGAAGAATTCAATCTAATACATGGGTGCTTCACCACAGGCAGCTAAGAACAGCATTGCCTCAGGCACACACACACTTTCCCATCCTGCCTCTTCCCCACATCATCCTGTTTTTAAGTGAAAGTGACTTAACAGGTTTGTTATGGAATCTGAAGACTTGTGCAAAGCCTATTTGCAAGACAACTTTTTCTCAAACTTCCGTGTTTGATGTATGCCACACCTGACATACATAGCAGGCAATTATCAAGGATCAATTATTAGCAGTGTAACTGAGACAGTAAAACCAGAAGTTTGTGCTAGAAGCCTTACCAGAGCCTTTAGGTCGATCTCGCTTGGGGTTATCTAATCACAGAAGAGAGATTTAGAAGAAAAAAAAAAAAACAAACAAAAAAACACAAAAGAAAATGTTAAGATAACAAAACTGGACTATAGTACAGTAATGTTCAAAGGGACTAGGGGAGATTAACAAACACTCTTTTGCTGTTCAGAAAATTCCTGTTAGATCGGTCTTACCAGTGTCTCTAGGATTTGCAGGAGGTTGTGGCTTGGGATCATCTGTAGACAAATAAGAGTTGGAATAAATTGAGCAAAATTACTAGTGTGAAGAAACCAAAAGCAAAGCATGTAGTAACCTTGAAAGATGATCTGACCTAAATATTGTATCAAAACTTCCCTATGTAATTTTCCTTTCATTAACTAATGCTATGTTTCTTTGGTTATTTTAGCTAAACACTATGCTTTAATGCCACTAATAGTTTTCCTGCTACATTAACCAGCATGTTAGATCCTTGCTAGGATGGAACATACACAGAAAAACTCATTAAGTCTTCTGCAGCATTTTAATTTGCACATCTGATTTCAAAGGCTGAACTTCTTTAAATTTTTTTACCAGGTACAGATTACTTGGCTGCTTTTTCTTTTAAAATTACCAGGTTTTATATATAATACTTGATACCTCACTTGAAAAACAGACAAAGTTCATAGAATAGAACTAGACATATGGTCCCCACAACGACACTTCATTTGGCTTGCCAGAAAATAGGAAAATAAGAGAAATTATTTCTCTACATCTTTGTCACAGCCTTCACATTAGAAATAGTACTTTCCTTCAAATTATTTATAACAGATTAATGTTTCCTTGTGCTATGAAATATACTTCCTGAAATGGGAGACATTATTTCAAAATTAACATTTACTTCCAGAAGTAATAGTTTATGGAGTTAGTGCCACCTAGTGAATAAACAGCAATGAGACAAGTAGAAACTGCCTAAGGAATTATTGCAATTCCTATAGTTTTGATGATTCAGACCCTTAATATTAACAAACATAACTAGGCTGTAATTATTTTTATTGGTAGTCTGCTACCTTAATCAACTCAGTGCCTTTTACTTGGGTCATAAAGGATGGATAGACATTGCACTAGGTACATTTGAGCAGTACCCAGGAAAATATGATACTTACCAGAATCAAGAGCATGGAGTAAGTCAAAATCATCTACAAAGAAAGAAGGGAAGTTTTAATGAAAAAAACCGAGGTAGTCTTAGACTATTTTTTAAACAAAATGGTCCTCACAATGTTTTCTCCAAAAAATGAAAGCATGCTCAGTCATCAGTGACTCACAGAAAAGCCCCACAGAGCTACCAGGCATTACCTCGCTTTTGGAGCTGCTTTTGGAGGTGATGGGACCTGTCAAGGGCCAGCTCAAGGTGAGCAAGTATCAAACATGTACACTGAAAGCCAACAGAAGGGATTCTTGCAAAATCACAAAACAAATTTCTGAGAGCAGATTACAAAATGAAGAAATCCTTTTGCTGTTAGGGAACTGCTTTTTTTTATGGAAAAATCACAACCTTGTATGCCACTGACTTGAAAAATTCAGGACCTCAAATTGGTATGTATGTACACTACACTTGATTTTACAGTAAAAGGTGTTACAAGCCAGTTAGATCTCACCTGGATCTGATGATGGTGTCTTCTGAGTTACAGGAGGCTTCTTTGTATTTCCTGTCAGATATGGTATGGGGAAAAAAATAATTAAATACTACTTAATACACTGTTCAGAAGCTACATGAAGGACAAAGGACAAACCTAAGTACATGTCTATACAACAAAATGCACAAGATCAAATCTATACAGCAAGACAATTTTGCCTCAAAGAGAAATCTTTAAGTCTTCAAAAGACAAATTTGAGTTCTATGTGGTCAACATCTTGACAAACATATGGCTGAATTGTTCCACTGAGGTTTAAAAAAACCATACGTAGCAAAGCTGTCATGCTTGGCCATGCAGTAATACTTAGAAATAAGTCAAAAGAGCTGCCACAATTTTTCTGCCTACCTTCCAAAAGTGCATCTTCTAAGGAGAAGTCATCTTGGCCTGTAGAAGATAAAAGAAACAGTAAGGACACTGCTTTTCCTTACTTAAACAAAATATTCAATAAAGTCATAAACATGTCTGTGATCAATCTTGAGATATGTTTTCTGCTTCCTGAGTCAATCTTGAAGAATATTTTGATTAAGGGTTGAAGACAGACATTCTTCCAGGTCACTATCTATATGTCTTTTCAGAGAAAAAAAAGAACCACACTAAAAATTGGCTCCAGAGAAATGACCTGAAGGATTGGAACATACATTCCTGAAGCCAATAACACACTTTATTTTTGCCACTGATATTGCATGATTTCTTAATGCCATCCACAGCATATTCTTTCCCACCCTTCTTTCCACTGAACAACAAAATAAGCTGGGGGACAGCGCCAATGCATGAGAACATACAAGATAGGAGTGTGAAGAAAAGCCTTGGAACATGAAAGTTATGTAACGGGAGTTAATATCTTGGCATTAAAAATTAATTAATTTTCATGGGTTTTCATGGGTTTATAAGACTTGATGTCCCCCTAACTAGGGTTACCAGTATGAACTTAAGATATTAGCACATATGATTTTGAGCAGCCTTTTCAACCTCCTAAAACACAGTTAAATGCATCTGGCATCACTATGGGGACTCCACTCCAGGCAGATTAGATTCTATTTTCAGTCCTTACAAAAAGAATACTGTCTCTTGCTGTATTAAGGTGGTTGCTAGAGCTACTGCTGCTTACCCAGCCAACTGCAAACACACCAGCTCAATACAATGACACAAACTGGTTTCACAGCACGAATGTAGTGGTGTGATCTCAGCAGCAGAGGCTTGTAAAATAAGTTGATAGCTAAAAAAACTGCTTGGGGTGTTTCTAATTTTTCATCATCCCTACTTCCACTGAAGCATGGAATAAGAAAAAGGCCTGAAAGTAGGTATCAGCTATTCAAGAGAAAGTCATTCAAATATATTGCTTCAGCTCCACAGAAGCTGGAAGACTTTTTCTACTTACTGAGTATCAAGCCAGCCAGAGCACAAATTATTTCCAGACAGAAACTACCTTAATTCAGAAGATACATGCATAAAGCATTTATGTGTTTGGCTTTTCCTCTAAGAATGTAACCACCAAAGAGGCATCAGAACCAGCTACTGCAAAGTCTGAAGAGAGGAATAAAAACTAACATCTAAATTAAACCACACACATCTTTGACTTACGTGACAGACCAAGTTAAGACAAGTCATGAGTCTAATACCAGGCAAGGCATGATGGATGCTTATATACCTGGTGACATTTTTTATTTTTTTTTTTAAATAGGGAAGCAACCTGAATGGAATAAAAAAAAGTGTGCACTCTGGCCAACTGAACTGCTACAGCAGAAACTGAAATCTGAAGTCTAAGAAGTGATTCCCATACTGTAACATTTGAACTAAACCCACCTTACTCATAGCCCAGTAAGGACACAGGCCTGCCTTGTCTATAACAGGCTCTTTTATGGAAACAGAGGCAATTGGTGTCTTTACTGTAGTGCACAAGCAAAGCACATTTAAAATCTCCTGAATAAAGTAAGTGGGTATAGATCTTGAATAGATAGCAAGAAGATATTTTACTTGGTGTTCCTTATTTCAGGTGGAGACTACAAGCTGTGTTAGATCACAAGAAACTACTTCACAGAATGCAAAATTATTTGCAGGCCATTTATCTGAAGTCTACATCAACTTGCAATACAATTTAATAAACCTCTGTAAAATTAGCAAGTGCTAAGACACAAATGCCAGGTACTTCTGAGGTTACTCCTTTGGTTAGACTACACTGATAGTAAAAGATTTTAAAATCATCGAGATTTGGAGAGTTAGAAAGAAAGTTAGGCTTGGCAAGCCCTGGGGAAAGTGTTAAAAGTAGTCCCTGGGCCTACTTGTTAGTATGTTAGGCCTTGTGCTTGCTAAGATCATGTGAAACTGCACCTGTGTAATCAGTATATGATAAATGATACAATTGTTAGATGTGATTAGATACAATTACTGTTTAAAGACTCATGAAAAACTATGTTAGGGGTTTGAGGGGGATCAGGAGAAATCCATGCTTGGGTAAAATCAATGTATACAATAAAACAATGAAAGTTTAATAATTAACATGTAAGTTATATAACGACAGAGTACAAAACATGTTCAGCTCAAAACCAAGGCAGGTCAGATTTGGGTATGTGTACCCCTGACACCCAGAGCTCTTAACAAAGCACCTTCATATAATCATTCTGTGATTATGTACTCCTGAATGCTAACAACGCCAAGAAACCTGCATATTGACAGGCAAAAAAAGGCCAAAACCCTAATAAGAAATTTTAACAGGCACTTCCATAGTTGTTCCTCAAACCCAAATTCTATCTGGCTTGTGTTCTCAGGTACATGCATCTCTCAGGCTACAGTCCTCTGGGAAGCATGCCTAAGACAGGACCTGATCAGAATTTGCTAGTCTAACTCCAAGAGGGCAAGCAGAGGAATCTGTTGAAAATGCACACTCCTCAAAACACTCTACCAGAGTAGTAGCCAGAGGAGGGACCATCACGAACTGTAAGTGCCATCTGTCTCAAAGCCAAAGGTATATCACCAACACAATGAACATTACACTGGTTTGTGTATATTTCAAGAGTCCTGTTTCCTTTCAGGCAGATGGAAAAACAAGCCCATACACTCAACTTTATGCTTTGGTGAAGCTGAAATTTTACCTGAAGCAGAAAATAGGCTATATAAAGCATTTCCGGCATGAAACTTAGTCCAGGAACTCAGAATGGCTTCAGCTGCAGTGGTTTCCCTCAAGAGGAGGAAAGCTTTGGAAAAGGGTGTGTTTTCAGTGATACTGCTCTTTTAGGGGATTTTGCACATAAGCTTCACAGAGAAATAATTCAGGATGAGATTGCTGACTGCCAAGCTCATGTAAAAATGCTTTGACAGAGGAATAAACAAATTTGAGAGTCAATACAATTAAAAACCCCCATAATTTATTGACTGGAATTTTCATTCTGAAACCAAAATTTTGCTTTCCAACCATGCAGCAAGATATCAGGTTCCTCATATGTATTACTTTTTTGAGATAAAGTAGCAAAAAATGTCAAAACTTAGCTTAAAGAACTCATTACAATAATCTGCACTCTAAAGTGCTGGAAGTCATTTTTCCAGCACAGAAAGGTGTTTCTCCACTGTTCATGACAAATCTTCCTATGTCTTTAAAGCAGTTACTTTTATAAATGCATTCATTCCACTTTTCGTATGAGTATGTCCAACTAAAGTAGAGCTTCAGTGACTTAGTCTAAAAGGTGAAAAGCTCAGTTTGATTAAGCTGGTTCCAGGAAAAAAAGTAGGAAACGAGATAAGGCTATAGAACTAGAACAAAGGTACTATCAGGGTCCAAGAAGGAAAATTCAGCAAGAATATGCTGCACTCCCTACAGATTTAAGGAACACCCAAAGCAACTAAACTTATGAACATTTTCTTAGTCTAAACGAAGATATTTACAAATAAAGCAGATATTGTACTGCATGTGAAAAACAATATAGCAGGTATTTCTAGCCCCTAAGGGCATAAACAGATTAAAGAATACTTCAGAAGTGTCTACACTATTTTCTTTTCATGTCTGTAGCACAAATACCTGGATCTCAAGAGACAGATCTTCAGGCCGTCCCTTGTAACCAACATAGTTTGTGTTAGCTGTGTTGGAAAACAGTATGTAAAACAAAAAGAGCAAACATAGGCTTTGAATAGCTGAAGAACTAGAGGGTATTCAAGAGATCCAAGTAAGCAAGTAAGAGTGCAAAGATCTTTGCAAAGACTTCTCACTGCTCTCAGATGCTTCCTGCTACAGTATTAAATTAGTCATATTCACATTCCACTGCAGAAGGCAACAGGAACTTTGGAAAGTTCCTCCATTAGTCACATGTACTAGATGACACACCAAGAAAGAAGATTTGTGATGAATGTTATAAAAGTACCTTTCTGACTTGAGCAATAGACTGCCTCAATTCTGTTTTCCTAAAAATGCCAGGGCTCTTCTGCTTCCTTCCCTCCTTCTCTCCCTAGGGCCTTGCACACCACAGGGTACCCACAGACTTGAATGTTGCAACAGGTCTTCCAGTTGTACGCCTATGAAACAGATGACAGTGGTCATCTTGTCTCCATCCCACAGCTGGACAGCATCTGCTACTCCATCACTGGCTGACTTACCATCACAGAATATCTCCAGTTAGAAGGGACCCGTAAGGATCACCAAGCCCAACACTCTGCTCCTCACAGGACTAACTATAAATAAACCATATGGAGAAGAGCCTTATTCAGACATTCCTTGAACTGTCAGACTTGGTTCCATGCCCAATTCCTTCCTGTTTGTTCCAGTGGCCAACCACTCTCTCCTCATGCCCAATCTGAACTTCCTCTGAGGCAGCTTCATTCCATTTCCTTATGTCCTTCGGGAGGTAATCAGAGAAAGGAGAACAGTACACGCCCCTCTGCTTCTCCCCCTTGAAGAAGCTGAAGGCTGTTGTGTGGTCAGCCCTCAGCCTTTTCTTCTCCAGGCTGAGTAAACCAAGTGACCTCAGTCACTCCCAGTAAGTTTTACCCTTGAGGCTTTTCACTATCTTGGACACACTCTTAATAGTTTGATCTCTTTATTGCTTTGGGGCACCTAAAACTGCACACAAGGACTCGAGCAGAACAGAGTATGACAATCAGCTCCCTCCCTCCCTCGAGCAGCCACCACTGCTATTCTTGATTAACCCCAGGGCACAAGTGGCCTTTTTGGCTGCCAGACTGTTGACTCACGTTCAACTTGCCATCAACCCAACCCCCCAGGTCTCCTTCTGCAGGTTGCTTTCCAGCTTCCTGTCCTCCAGTTTGTACAGAGAACCAGGATTATCCTGTCCCAGGCATGGAACCTGGCACTTGCTCTTGTTAAATTTCATATCGTCTGTGACTGCCAAGCTTGTGTCTGTAGTGCTCCTTAGCCCCTTATTTTTGTGACCTATGCAAAA